GAATGCGCCTCGGCCCCGGGGGAGATGCGCCTTGGTCCCCTCCTGGGGGTCCTGGGTCCCAAGAAAGCCTCCGGAACCCCCTCTCTTTGATCCCTCCCTCGTCGCGGGGGGGGCTCTCGGGGGGGGGGTCCCGCGGAGATGCGCCTCGGTCCGGGGGGGGGGGGGGGGGTCGCTACCCAGATACGCATCCCTCCCGGGGGTTCCCCGGGTCCCACAAAAGCCCCAGGACGGACCAAGAGTGCCCGAATAGGCCCCCAACATGGTCCAAGACGGCCCCGCATCGCCGAACGATCTGTTCAAGACGCCTTCACGGCCTCCTGAAGGCCCATGAGGGCTGCAAAACGGCCCAAGAGGCCTCCAGGAGTACTCCGAAGAAGGCCCCCCGAGGCAAAATTCAGGAATTATCCTAACGTTTTTGAGCGATTTTGGCGTTTTGGCGCCTTCTGGTTCCCGACGCTCCACGATGGCCCCAGATGCCCCCAAGATCGCCCCAAGACGGCCCAAATTCCTCCAAGAGGTCCCGAACATGGCCCAAGAGGGCCCCAAGACGGCCCTAGACGCCTCCAAGACAGGCCAAGAGGTACCCAAGATGGCTCCCACAATGTGCCCAAACGGGGGCCCAGAATAGACATCTCGATCCCCCGCCCCAGAGGAGCGCTCAGGAGGCCCCAAGAGGCCTCCAATACGCCCCCAGCAAGCTCCCAGGACGCCCCTGGAGGTCCCCAAGAGGCTCCCAAGAGGCCCCCGACGAGTCTCCAAAACGCCCTCAAGATGCGCACCAGAGGCCCCCGAAAGCGCTCCGAAGCGACCCCTACAAGCATCCACTCCGCATCCTGCTCCTGGCCCTCCTCCTCCTCCTCCTCCTCCTCCTCCTCTTCCTCCGCCTCGTCTTCCTCGTCCTCCACCTGCTGATTGCCGTTCTCCAACTCCTTCTGCCCCAACTCTCCCTCCTCATCCTCCTCCGCATGCTCTTCCTCATCCTCCCCCTCTTGCTCCAAGGCGTCCTCCTCGTCCTCCTGTTCCTCCTGCTCTTCCTCCTGTTCCTCACTCTTTCCCTCCTCCTCATTCTCCTCCTTCACATCCTCCTCCTCCTCATCCTCATGATCATCGTCGTCCTCATGCTCCCCCCTCCTTCGTGTGTCCTTCTTCCAGCCCTCCTGAACCTTACCTTGACCCCATTCTTCCCATCCTCCTCTTCTTCCTGCCACTCCTCCTTTCCCTCCTCCGCGTCCTCCTTCCTCTCCTGCTCCTCGGACTCCCATTCTCCGCGTCCTCCTACTGCTCCTTCCTGCCCCGTCCTCCCCCTGCCCCTGCTCCCCCTCCTCCTCCTCCTCCTCCTCCTCCTCCTCCTCCTCCTCCTCCTCTGCGTCTTCCTCCTCTCCATCCTGCTGCTCCACCGCGTCCTCCGCCTCCTCCTCCTGCTCCTTCCGCCCCCCTCCTCCTCGTCGTCCTCGTCGTTTTCGTCGTCATCGGGGTCGGCGGCACCGGCCGTAAGGCCTTCACAATAAAAACATCAGAAACACTGTGGCCGTCTCGGTCCCGCAGCAGACATAGCCCCCCAATCCCCCGAAATCGATGCGACAAATTCATAATTCCGCAAAGACCGTACAGAGCCAATCCACCGAAGCCGAACGCTTCTCCCCTCGATTGCATGAATTAGGGCTGATGCCCGACGAATTATGATAAGCGCCTCACCTGCACGAGGCTTCAAATGATGCGGCACGCAGTGCAGCACCTCTCAAGAAAGCTTGACGGCAACAGACGCTACTGTATCTGGCGCGAAGACCCAACCAAACCTTCGCCGACAAGTAAGTGACCTGGGATGACTCTGTATAAACTGTGGGCGATGGAAAATGTCCAGACGCCCTCGCGTCCGCTTGCGCCAGAAAACGGCAACGACAGCGATGCCGCTGGCCCGTTGGTGCGGGCCATGGCCCGGACCCCAGGAGATCACGATCGGATTGGGGAGCAAGGAGGATGAGTATCGTTTAACCGATCCCCATCCCCAGCGGCGTGGCCTGGGCCCCACTGACCGATTTACCCCCCTAGATGGGGATGTAGGGCGTTCCCTTCGGGTTTCGAGAGGTGCATCCCCAACTGGGGTGGTAATTTGGTGGGGGTCTCGAAGGGGATGGGGATGGGGATGGGGATCGGTTAAACGATACCGAGAGGAGGCACGATGTGGCCAGTCATGGGAGGGAGAGTTAACATTGAAAAAGCAAGACTGCATCTGTTCACGAGGCCTCGGACGCTGGTCGAAGAATTGGCAAACTTACTAGGGTTCCAACATGCGTATAACATGTATTTACGTACATTCATACGCACGTACAAACATGCATACATTCGCCCATACGTACGTATGCATACGTACACGCATACATACATACATACATACATACATACATACATACATACATACATACATACACACATACATACATACATACATACATACATACATACATACACACACATACATACATACATACATACATACATA